CATAAATAATTAAAGTACAAACCAGTTATTCTTCTATTCATCAACCATTAAGACTAATATATTACTATTATCACTATCAGCGTCTATAAGTGACATAAGTAATCCATCATTCCCTTCCAAAAAGGATCCTTTTATTTTTTTTAATTTAAATCGCAAATCAAATCTTTATTTATTTATTTTATATTAAAAATTATAAATTTTGATTTAATTTTTGTATCGTATGACACACGTATCGTATCGTAATATACAATATCGTATTGTTCGATACAAACTCCTTTCTAATACTCCCATCATATCGTATAAGTATGTCCAAATGGGCTTGGCCCAATATACAAGTAACAGACTAAATAAATACAAATAAATGACTACTTAATTACTAATAAATGACTACATAATTACTATTTACAACACTCCCCCTCAAGCTGAGGAATAGATATTTATCATTCCCAGCTTGCTAGCAAGTTCTTGAAATCTATCTGAAGGAAGCCCCTTTGTCAATATATCAGCTAATTGACGCCCAGTGGGAATGTATGAAGTGGTAATCAACCCGCTATCAAGTTTCTCTTTGATGAAATGGCGGTCGACCTCAATATGTTTAGTCCGATCACGTTGAACTGGATTATGAGCTATACAAATAGCGGACTTATTATCACATAACAGCTTCATAGGTCCCTCACATTTTATTTTTAGATCATCAAGTACAATTTTCAGCCACAGTAAATTAGGTCAAGAAGTCTCTATAAATAGAGACCCCTATGTACAGATTCAAATACAAATCAATAATATTTCATAACCCTTTTTCAAGTAAAATTTATTTACAAAGAAAACTAAATTATGAAAAATCATTTTGGGCTTGACGGGAGAGTTCATGCTCTGACATATCCTTTCATGCAATAGGAAACTCAAAGTTATGCCATATTGTAGAAAATATTTGTGTGTTGAAGATTTTAATGTTGAAATTTTTTTAAGGAAAATTGTTTGATTGAATTTGAATGTTCCGCATCATCAATCTGTCGTAACTAAAATATCCTGGAATGATAATCACAGGATTAATAAGTTGTTTTAACTCAATTAATCCTTTTATAAGTCTTGATTAATCTGTGATATTGCATTTTTGAACTAATCAATAATTAAGAAATATAATTATCGTTGTTAATTTTAATTTAGTTTTCTAAAGAGATTCGGATCATTAGACAATCATAGCCAAAATGACCCTAAAATAAAAAATAATGGAGCTAATAAGCTGTCACAACTAAATTATTCCTTTTAGTGTTAAGAAAAATAATTTGATAGTTTACAATGGTGGAATTAGTAATTAGAGAATAAATCACAATATTTGATTTTGAAAGAGATTTGAATCATTATGCTTCACAGCCAAAATGATCCGCCATTAAAAATAAAGAATTAGCAAGCTATTGGCTAAATTATTCCTTTAAATAGAAGATCCCAAACTAAAAGATATTAAAATATATCATGAGAAATATTTAGAAGAATTTTCCATCAACACATTAAATAGCTATTGACATAATAATAATTAAACCAAACAAAAAGATAATAAATTTGAAATTCCTTTATTATTATCATTATTATATTTTATTTGATTTTTATGTTTGATTATTTTTAAACTTTTACTATCAAATTTGATTTATCTAATTATTTTTTGAAAACAACATATGCTAAATTTTTACTTGAGAAATCCTGAACTAAAGACTGAAAAAAAAAATAGAGGACTAGTGATAAAGAGTTTATGTCTCTGTCCCTTTGTTAGAGGTCTCCAATTCGAGTTATGGCAATAGAAAAAATGGTCTTGGGAGAGTCGAGAAAGACCGAAAAAAACCAAAAGCAATAAAAAGGAAAAGATATAATCAACATTAAATGACAAAGCACTTAAATTAACAATAATGAAATATTAAGGTTACATTTTTTTATTTGAAATCCTAAACTAAATCGTGAGAGTAATGCCAAAATTCAAATGAGAAAAGAAAGATGTTTAAGGGAAAATCATTTGTGCTTTTACAGGACGTAACAATACATCATCTGGTGAAAAACAATTTTCTCTTTTGCATTTGTGTGTTTCTTTTAGGTACTGTGCAAAATTAGTAGAAGGGTTCATGGATTTTAAGCATAATTGAATTTCTCTTCGGGATGTTTAACATAACAAGCGAAAGTTTCCCTTTTGTGTGTGTTTGTTTGTCGGGGTGGGGAGTTGTGCAAAATAGAATGAGGAAGTGAAAAGGTTAACGTCTTTTATTTTGAGCATGATTTCTCTTCTGGGTATTATTATTTGGATTAAAGGGAAAGAAAGAAATTCATTTCCTTATCTGTTGGCTTTAAGTAAGCTGTAACCAGCGACGGAGCCAATATTTAATTTTAACCGGGGCCAAAAAATTTGATATATCAAAATATTTATCGTAATTACACAAATTCATTAGGAAAAATTTGACATATATCCTAGCTAACATTTTCGTTTTTTTAATAATATAATATTTATGATATATATTATTCACTTAAAGACATATTATGAGATAATGACTTTTAACAAATAATAAATATTTATTTAAAATATAATATAAAATTAAATTAGTAAAAAAAGTGCAAATTATATGTATATACACCTTTATGAAATTTTCATGTGATTTTTATGAACATTTTCATGTGATCTTTATGAATATTATTTCATGTGATGTTAATGAAAATTTATTTCATGTTACCTTTGTGAATAAGAAATTTTATCTTTTATATTTTAATTTGATTTAGGCCTATAAAATTTAGTTTGCAACTTGGTAGGCTTTACAGGCCGTATTAGGTTTTTTTTTTATAATAAGTTAGGCCAGACACATAAATCAAGCCTTTAATAGGCTAATAGGCCAATATAGGCTTTAACTATTTTACGTAGGCTTAGGATATCAAATCCAAAGCCTGGCCTAACCTGGCCCTATTTACACCCCTAGTCGTGACTTGTGAAAACATCAACGTAGAGGGACAGAGCAAACTTCACAATTAAAAAGAAACATGAAACAATTAGCAACAAATGTCTAAAATCATTTAAATGACGTTAGATCAACACAAATCATTAAATTAGTGTTTATATATTTTAAAAATTTTATAAATAAAAAAATAAAAAAGTTGTTAATGGGTATGTACAAGAAATTTTCATACTCCAAATATATACATATATCTTCATTGATTTTTTCTTTAACAGTTTCCACTGATTAATCACCAAAATTTCCATTCATGTTGTGAAATCAAATACAAATAACACCAATAAACAATTCAATTTCATTACCAATAGCAACTGTAGCTCTATATTAAATTTTTTTTAAAAAAAAAAAAGGTAAACGTAAAACAACACTCCATTTTTAAAAAGAAATAAAACAATAAATACAACCACACAAAAAAAGGGCATGAATTTCACTCATGTGTGAAACACCCAAAAAACAATTATGGTCAGCAAAGACAAATAATTTCTCTTTTACAAGGTTCAAGAATGTAAATCAATTTTCTCCCCAGCGGATAATATAATTACCAATGCATATTCCAAGAATATGTATTCGTTAAATATCGTATCATGCAGAATGACTGGTTCCGGGTGGTGAGTGCGAATAAGAAAAAAAAGTTAGAAGAAAACCCTAATTGAAAAAAGATGAAAGAAGAAGAAGAAGAAATTAAGAAGAAAACAATATGTTATCACACGCAAAACAACTCCAAATCTTTGTCTAATACCACTATTACAAATTTAACTAGGGCCAACTTACAATTTTAGTTAGGGTCCAATTATAATTACTTATATAAATTATATATAATAAATAAAATTTACTCAAATATAGCCGTTGTCCGAGCCCTACCTAAATAAAACATGGCTACGCCACATGAGTGTTATGTTGTGAGCGAGCTGCATACTAGACAAGGTGTGTTACTACCAATCAATTAGTGTTACTAACAATCAATTTCATCGTTAGATCGATTATGTTGATACAACGGTTATATTTATTTCCACCTTTGTATGGTTATGATTCTCCATATTTAATGCTTTCACATTAAATATGGGGAATCATAATCATACAAAGGTGGAAATAAATATAAAGTATTAAATATGAGAAATCATAATCATACAAAGATGGAAATAAAATTACCGTTAAATCAACGTAATCAATCCAATGGTGAAATTGATTGGTAGTAACACTAATTGGTTGTTACAATATCCTATTTTTATTTTAATAGGCTGTATTCTCGTAGTCTTAGAGCTGTTGAAATCTCTCAAAAGAACAGCATTGATACCATATTCCAAATTTATGTAGGTTATGAGGGGATTCTCTTATTTAATGACTGTCATATCGTTCTTTCAATTATGCGCTTGCAATTAACATCAGAATGCATGTAAATGACTAGCCTTTAATATTTCTTGCCAATTATTCATAGGAAATTCAACTGAAAATTCTTTATTTATTCTCTCACATTTTTTTTTGGGTATTAATAAGGGGCAAGCCCCAAAAACAAAACACAAACGAAGGAAAACGAAAGACAAGCTAAAGAAAAGAAATACAAGGAGGACAAAGAACAGCCTGAAACTAAAAAGGACTGGGAGTAGTAGAAATCTCTTGTCCTGGATCCAGCAAATCAGCAGACATGAGATTAGTAAGTTCAGGGTGAGGATATGAGACTATGATGAGCCCAAGACTATCATTCACAGCCTTCTTTGCAACCCAGTCCGCAGGGTTGTTGCTACCTCTAGAGATGTGAGACAAAGTAACAGTCCAATCTTTGTTCAAAAGAGCTCGAATCTTAGCCACCAAAAAAAGCCTTCGAGTAACATTACCAGATGAGGTGAGTAAGCTTATAGTTTGAAAAGAGGCTGATTCCAGTGCAATGTTTTTCCAACCTTTATTCCAAGAAAACCCAAGGCCATGATATTTTGTCGATTTATTCTCTCACCTTTAGTCGATGACATTTTGTCATTGCACTTGGTAATTGTCAAGGGTGCAGACAGTGTTCACGATTCAATGGATGCATTTGAAGCTGCAAAGTTATTGGCTCAGACAAGTGGTTCCACAATGGCAGTGTCACGAGCCACTGACATTGTCACTTATGGAAATCAAGTTGGTGGTGCTCACAATGATATAAAAAGTTTCATCGTCTTAAACATTATGAAATATATATTTTGATGATGACAAATAATTTATAAGAAGTTTCAAATTAAAGATGAAGCTTGAAGATATAAGTGATTAGATTTTCAAAATTTTGTTGCACAATATATTATATCATATAGTATCTCTCTAAGCTCCAATGCATATCATTGTATATCATTGCATTACGTGCATTTAGCTACATGTATTTCATGTTTTAAGATAAAAACTATTTCATATTAAATAAATCAATTTTAATAAAAATAAAACTAATGCTTCTTTACCACCAAATTGAAAAGTAAATAATCAGTACATGTTTCCTATTTTGTGTCACGTCATTTTGGACTTTTGTTAATAAAAAAAGAGTACAAGATTTTTAATAAAAAAAAATAGACTTCAATTTGTTGATATGTCTTCTTCGTCATATGTACGTTCTTAAATATCAATTTGAAAAAAAGTATCTTTACAATATATAGTGTCATGTTTACAGTACCGATTCATTATGCACTTAACAAAAGACTCATGAAGCAAAGGCCTGAAAGCATTCAGCCGGCGGTCTATCACATCACGATCCTCAGCAGGCTCTACAAGAGTCTCCCTCGTCTCAGCGACATGAGCAGCACTGCCAATGTGACTCAGGCTCTCATCCTAAACACTAGGTGGTGGCGGCGGCGGTGGCGGTGGTGCATGGCCTACAGCAGGACCAGCCCTCATCTCCTCCAACATGACTCTCATCATCGTCATGTTCGCCATCCTGTTCGCCTCGAGGACATCCTCAGTGGTCCTCCGGTTCGCTTCACGAACCTCCTCTGCGGCTATCCGGTTCGCCTCGCGAACTGCATCCATCATTGCCGCGTTGGCCAATCTAGTGGCCTCCTGGTCGGCTAACCTAGCCTCCTGCATCTCAGCCAATGCAGTCAGGATAGGATCGGATTGATCCTCAGAAGTCTCCCGTGTTCTCCCGGACCTTACCATGACTCTGCACAAGTTACACAAATTATGAGTTGATCAAGCCCACGCAATGTGATTACACGTGCATTATCATAATAAAATTCGACGGAGTAAACACACAAGACAGACCAACCAAACATCCTAGCTATTGCAATACATACAGGCTTTTCCCTCGAACCAGGCTCTGATACCATAAATGTAACACCCCGTATATATCCGGTAATGTTATCATACTATCGTATTAAGCAGCGCTTAATTAAAAATGTGGAATATCTTTTTCTTTTCAATTATGATGTCATTATCATTACCAACTTGCTTATTAATCAATTAATAAAACATCGCCTGTATATAATTGCAATAAAACAGCTATCTGAAATACCTCATAACATATATAATAAAAGTGTGGCGCTAGTCACAGAACTACAACAACGTAGACCGGACCATTTAACAGTTTATACAACTCCAAATCAAAAGCACTAACATAAAGTGTCATGGACAATCCCCATGCTCACTCAAATAAGGCAACATGCCCAACATCAGTCTCAATAACAACATAAACATAAATAGTGGAAAACATAAACAGCATCCATATCAAGTCATGGCAGCAAACAACAATAATATCATCAACTAAGCTCTGGCCTCCTGCCGCCAGAGGCATCAGTCACCAAACTACCGGAACCTGAAATAAGCATTCGCCAAACGTGGGGTGAGATTTCTAAACAAGAAATCTTAATAAGGCAAGGGGTCCTCAAGGATCTTCCACCCGAAGCTCACTTACATGTACAATATAAGTTTAAAAGCAGTTTATCATCATCAGTTCTAAAATAGTGCAATACAGCAGATAATCATGTCATGTGTGTCAATTCTATTCTACTGGCCAGAGAAATGCAGGATTTACATACGCTAAATACCCACACTAGTGCAAGACGCTACTTGCATCCACCCCGGATCACCGTCTTGTATGGCGCTACATACTCAGGTTTACCGTCAAGATGGAACAACACATGCATATTAAAAGTCATTACACATAAAGCTCAACAGCATTTCAAATATTCAAAGCATGTAACACAGCATGCATACAACCATACCCCCATGGGATATTGTGGAACCACAACATGGCTAAACCGAGGACACGAAAGCATACCTTGCAAGCTAACTCCCAAAGCCAAGAGTCCACAGCTCAAAGTCCAAACACAGCAGATTCACAATCTGTTATGGACCAATACTATATTAATAATAATGCAACACAAGCATATAACTTAAAGACAACGCCTTTCCTTACGTTTTACGTCTTAAGGCTCCATACCAAGCCATAAGCCCTTAATCACAACGATTCTGACTTAGTTCATTAATTACAGAAGTTCAACTTCCTCAATCTAGGGTCCACAAACCCCCAATAGCCTACTGTACACACAACACAACTACTGTTCTACGAAATCCTAGAATATCTGGATATTCCTCGGGACCATATCCAAATATTCAATATCCGGATATCTCACTGGACATATCCAGATATGCAATATCCGGATATCCAGAATCCCATATCCGGATATCTAATATCCGGATACTCAAAACCTATATCCGGATATCACATATCCGGATATTCCTCGGGCACATATCCAGATATTTCACGACAGAATGCAGAAAATGCATTTCGTGAAGATATCCTTCCAAGGTTCCATTTTTAACACTTAATTACGTTAAAGCATGCATCTTTATACTGATTAAGGTCCACACCCCAGTTGGTTACTTGATTAACCCATTATACATGCAAAGATCACACCTTTAACCCATTAAAACACAAGCTCAAGGTACAACTCACCAAAGCTCAAAACAGAGGATCAATGGCTCATGGAGCTCACCACACTGCCTCTACAGGTTCTGGAAATAAGGTGTACGAAAATGCAACACAAAGGTTGGTCTTTTCTTCACAAAGAAGCTTCTTGAAGCTTCACAAGCCAAGAACAAGACTCCAACCACCCAAACAACCCAAAACAGCAGCTCCACCCACCAAGGTCAGCACCCTCAACTCAGAAAAATGCCACCAACACACTCCCAAAGACCACTCTCACTCACCACAAGTGTTTAGGAGAAGAATAAGTGAAGGAAATGGCCTCAAAGCTCAAGAAATGGTGAAGGCAAGTGAAGGAGACACCAAGTCAGCAAGGAGATCCACACTCAGCAGCCACTCACGCACAAAAACTGAGGTCCTAGGGTTATGTGCCAATCATAAGGCTATTTATAGCGGTTTAACCATTAATCACCCAGTATTAACTTTAATTGTTACGCTTAGCATTTTAATCCCAAATTCTGGATTCTTAACCTACTCAATTTTACAAGAATTATCATATTTTTCTTATAATTTTCTGAGCACCTTTCCGGTACGCGCTTTTCCAAGCCAGTACCGGTTTCTAGCACCAGTTCTCATTATTTGGACTTGAAACTCGTTTTACAAGTCCTACATATCATTCTAGTAATTATCATGCACTTACATTAATTTTCCGGGATACTTTTTCGGTACGCATTTATACCGACTAGCAGAACCGGTATTTGCACTTTTCTTTCGAAAAACGACTTTCAGCATTAATTCTCACTTATTATAATTATTAAAGCCTCATAATAATTATTAGGGTCAATTATGAAATCATTTCCTAATTTCTCATAATTTATTAATTAAATTCCTTAATTAACGGTGCGGGTTCTTACACATTGCTCCTTTGACACTGCATTGATCCTTTCTTGACTCCTCTCAGCTAGTTGTCTTGAAAGTTGGCCAATTTGAGTCTCCAAGTTTCTGATGGATGCATCTTGATTCTTGTGGTAGGCTCTTGTCTCATTCATGAAGGCGCCAATATTCTGAATGTTATCATTTGTGGTCTTAGAAAGCTGTAGCATTGCCTTCTCCAACTCAGACGGTTCCTTATGTGGAAGAGGAAGAGGTTGTAGATAATTGTTGGATTTGTAGTCCAAACCTCCCCATTGAATTCTCCTTTGGAAGTTGCCTCCTTGAGCATTGTTCTGATTCCTCTAAAATTTTTGGAAATTCTGTGATGGCCTTGGATCATACCAAACTCCATTGACCTGGAACGGCTCAGCTCCCATGAGTGTTGGGCACTCATTAGTCGCATGCTCCCCTTTGCAGTACTCACAGTTAATTGAATTAACTTGAGATGGAGAGACTTGCATTTTGTCTAACTTGGCATTCATATTGGCTAACTGTTGAGAGATTACCTTTTGCTCATCTAATGACGCATCATTTTTCCCCAGTTGTAGAATTCCTTTCTTTGGTTGAACTGGTTGTAGAATTCATTTTTTTTCTTTTCTTTCAATTTTTGTCCCCTTCTCACAGATTGAAATCCCTAATATATATATATATATATATATATATATATTTATTATTATTCAGATTCAAGTGATATACTGCTATGCATTGGAACATACTCTAAAAGCATACTCTATGTTCATTCTTTGATATACTCCTGTGGATTGCTCCTTACGGTCAATTTTTTTTTGGAGATGCTTGTTATTATCATGTGAATTTTGACATTAGAGTTTGTGGATAGTGAAAATATGCTTAGAGCCATTGATCTTGAAATTTACTGTCATATGCTTCTGCTATGGGTATATCACTTGGCTGCATTTTTTTGAGCAAACTATTTGATCATGAGCTAAATTTTGTTTAGGGATATCAAATACTGCTTCCTGCTGATCTCTTGTGATATTTCTGTGTTTATTTTTTTTCTTTGCTAATAGCCATTTTCCTTTCTATTTGCTCACTGATCCATGTTTCAGTGAATAATGACACTTAAACCAGATAAAATTAGAAATACGGCCAGCAAGACATCAAGAAAATGATCCAGTTGAAGTGGAGGAATCTAGACTCCTCCTTCTCAGCTGACCATTTCATGGTCACCCAGGTTCTTAATTTATTTATTTATTTATTTTTCAAATTATTGTTTTTATATATTTATGTTCTGCTGTGAGGACCCAGCTTGATTTTAAGTTTAGGGTGATTATAGTAT